CGCAGACAGCGCCCCCGCCACGGCTGCGAGCTTGGGTTTCCCTTCGGGAAATGGGACGCTCCTCTGGGACGCGGGGACACAGGTCCCGTGGGTCCCGAGGCCCGGCGCTGAGAGCCCGGCTCCCCCGGGGCCCGCCGGCGGCGTCCTCTCGGACGGTGGCTGCGGCTCTGGGACTGGAGGTTATTGTGCCTGAGGTGGGTGGGGCAGGTGTTTTGTTGAGGCCGAAAACCCCGTCGGCGGCTTCTGCACGGGTGCGTTTCTCAGCGGGGAAGAAAGGGCGGAGAAAGGTTTAGACAGATCAAGCCGCAAAAACTTCTCGGGACCCCGCCGAGTACATACCTATGATTAGGAATTAAGAGGCAGTACTGTGAAGTCAGCTCCTCCAACCGTCTTCACGAGTCCTCCAGACTCTTACGGTTGTAAATTGCAAGCTACTTCTTTTGTAAGTTGCTAGCTGGGTTTTTTTTGTTTTTGTTTTTTTGTGTGTATCGAATTCAGGAATTATCTGTATGATGATTTATTTTACAAATTGGATTCACATGCCCTTCCATTCTGGAAAATTGACTTAGTTTTACAGCCTGTCACTGTAAAACCCAGTCATGCCCTGGTCAGATGCCTGAAGCTACCTTTTGAACTTTGCAGGCGCTTTTGTTTGGCTTCCTGTCTTATTCTTTAGTCTAAATATTAATTTTTAAAAAGTTCAGAAATGATTTACCAGCTGAGTATAGGTAGAGTTCTTGTCAGTACTCATAAAAGACGCTTTTGGAGGATTGTGTGAAAGAAAGGAACCTAACAAAGGTAAGGACCTGCGTTCTCTTGAGATCCACTTTACACACATGCAGAAACCTCAGAAACCTCTTCCTTTGTCTCTACCATCCACAACCAATAAAATAAATGCAGGCACATTGTACTTCCATACAACGGAATATTTCTGTACAAATCAACCCTGTCATTAGGAATAACTATTCATGCTAACGTGTTTGAAATTCACCCAAGAAAAATAGGCCCTTTTACTTTATTTCACTCAAGTGACTAGCTTCATCATCTGCCCTGTTCTGTAGTAGACGGGTGACGGCTTCCTGTCTCTTGTGCCTCATCATCAGCCTCTCCGTAAGTCCTGTTGGTTTTGCCTCTCGAGTATCTGTCTGTCTTCATCTTCCCCAATAGTAATCTGGTTCCGGCCACCATCGTCTCTCATCTAAAGTATCACCAGCCTCCTAATTAGGGTGTAGCTACATTTACCGTGCCCCCTTCTAGGCTTCCACACCAGACTGAGTAACATTTTAAAAATGCAGATCTAATCATGCTGCTTCCAATATGTCTCCTCCAGGGGCTTTCATTGTTTTTAAGAGAAACGAAAGTCCTTAACAGCCTGTTGGGGTCCCCCAAATGCCTTTCCAGCCTCATCTGTACAGTGCTTTCTGGCATTCCTTCCCGCCCCCCCGGGCACTCTGTTGGGCCTCAGGTATACATGGCTTTTGGTTATGCAGCTTCCTCTGCTTGGAAATGCATTTCCTTCCTTTTTCATCCAGTTAACGCCTGCTCATCATTCATCTCCCTTCAGGAGACTTTCCTGATTAGGGTAGATTCTTCTAATTGTATGTTCTCATAACAGCAATGCAGAGTTGCCGTATTTATTAATACTTAATCATTTAATGAGGTGTTCCTCATCTTCTGGTACTGTGGAAGTGCTTAAAAAATGTTTGTGAAATGAATGAATTCACTGAATGCTTGCTAAATGTTCCAGGACTTGTGCTAAACATCTTACATGCCTCCTGATCTTTAATCCCATAGAAATCACTTGAGGAATAGGTGGCGTTTCCCCCTTTTTAAAGGTTAGAACTAGTGTTAGGGAGGCTAGTTGGTGCTCATGGTGCGAGTATTAAGTATTAGAACTGGCATTTGAACCCAGGTTTTCTTTCCACTGAAGGTTGTGTACTTAATCATATAACACTTAACTCTCACACTGTACATCAGAATCACCTGGGGGAGCTGCTCAGAATACAAATGCCCTCACCGCACATTTATAGATTCTGATCCCAGTGGTTTGAGGTAGTCCATAAGCATCTATATGGTTTAACAAGGTATTCAGTCATCAGATGGTATTAGATGTTCACTAGAGTTTGAAAACCATTGTCTTAGATAACACTTCAGTATTTTTTGTGTCAGTTTTCACACACTACTACAGTGTATTTCGATTTTATATGTTCTTAAGTCAAGGAAGAACTGTAGCCCCATGTGTCATTTTGTTAGATTTCCTACCCAGTTATTTCTTTTCCTCCTTTTCTAGCCCAAGAGGCTGAATAGTAAGACTTTGCCACCCCAGGGCTTCTATTTCTTTTTTTTTAAATTACCATAATTTAAAGAATCTGATTGATTTCCTGTAGTAAAAACTACACCAGTTACATGAGCTGGAACTGCCTTCAAAAGAGTTGGATATAATCTCTCCTCAGATCTTACTTATGTTCAAATTACTAATTTGATATTTAAGCATATGTTTCCTCATAGTCTCATGTTGCTTTTTAAATTTTAGTGTACAACGATCTTAAGTTTGTAAGCAGTGATGGAAACTGAATGTTTTACTTCTTTCTTCTACTGTATCTAACTAGCATAGTGCTTTCTACTTAGTAGGTTAGGTACCCAATGATTTGTTGAATGGATGTGTACTTCACAGTAGTGATTTATGCTTGTTTCTTAAAATCAGGTTTTTCTTCTGTAAGTAATCTGTTCTAGCTCAACTGATAATAATTCAATACTTTCTGTGGTTTCAAAGAGAATGATTGTACTCAACTGGTATAATTGTTTTCTGAGTAAGATTCAGTGTGACTTCTGTATAGACCAAAGAATGGTAGTAACCAGGTTTTAAAAACTATATCTTTCTGAAACTTTTACTAATCTCTGAATGCTCCCACAGGAAAAAGAAAACATGTATTTCAAGAATGTATCTCAGGATCATTTTACTTTAGGTATAAACAGATAAGCACTGCATATAGAAGTATAGGTACAAAAATTCCCCCAAATTTTATGAAGCATTTTACCAAAGGTATTTATGTCATAGTCATGTAATTCTTGTTTCAAATTACAAAATTTCATTTTATAAATGCTTAACTATTAAAATGAATATAGAAGTGGTATTCTTTTATTTTTAATTTTATTTATTGATTTTTAGAGAGAGGAAGGAAGGGAGGGAGGAAGGGGAGAGAGAGAGACATCAATGTGAGAGAGAAACATCAGTAGCTTGCCTCGCACATGTGCCCTCCTGAACAGGGATCAAACCCACAATCTGGGTATGTACCCTGACCGGGAAACGAACCACCACCTTTTGGTATACAGGACAGCTCTCCAACCGAGACACATTGGCTAGGGTGAAGTGGTATTCTTTTATTTTCAGACATTTACATAGAAAGAAACCTCAGACCCTGGTGCCTCCTTAAGGAATAAAACTATTTTGAGTTCATTTTTATTCATTTATGTTATTGTTCTTTGTAGTCAATGTGTAATATTTAGTGCTTGTTTAAAGTCTAGTCTCAGCTATGTGCCATGAGACTAACAGTTACTAAACATAATTTCATTATTAGATGTAATTACAGTAACCTTTTTATTTGCATTACAATATTTCCAATAAAAATGCAAGCTAATTCTACTTTACAGTATTTTCTTCTTGGCGAATTAAGGGACTCTTTGCACTTGTGTTACTTGAAAATTCAGGACATATTTTTAGCATAAATATAATTTTAGCTACTATATTCTTGCTATATCTAGAGTTTATGAGTAGACAGAACTAAAAGAATTGCCATTTCCTTTCAACTACCTGCCATCAGGTGCTGTAATACTCAACCCACTTTCTGCCAGGTGCATGTAAAATCTTGTAATACAACAGAATCACCTACTGGTTCTACTTAAAGCCAAGTGATGGCTGAGCCAGATGGTAGAAAGGTATAATCTTGGGATCATACTGAAGTCTCAAATCTTATTTTGGCTGAGATTTAGGAGGGGAAGATAGTTGAATTTCAAGTGAATTCTTGTGGTGTACAAGGGGAAATGGCTTATATGAATAAACATTTCTGTCTTTTATAACTTTGTCTTTGGAAAAAATATGCTTATTTCTTTATTCATTAATCAAGTGAAAATTTGAAAAGCTATCATTTAGTTTAAGAAAAGATACTTGGAGTCTAGATTTCTTATATGTCCAAAGGCTATTGCTAATAATTCAAAATCTTGTTTTATAAGCTCATTCAGTTAGCCTGTCCTTGGCCCCTGTTGCTTTCATGATTCTCCTTGGGTCACTGTTTTCAAGCCCACAGTATTAACCACTGTACTGCTCATGGTGCCCGAATTTTGATCTTCAATCAAGAAGTTTTTTCTAAGTTTTGTACTGCATATCTAAAAACCTGCTAGATGTATCTCCATATGAAAGTTATTAAGGCAACTCACATTCAGCATGTCCAAAGCTGAGTTCTTCCCCCATAAGAGAAACAATTGTCTCCTTTAAGTCCTGCCTTGCTAGGTAGTTTCACTCTCTACCTGGACTCTGAAATTAGAGACCCAATTGGGATTCCTAATGTCGTCCCTTCCCTTTGTCTAATTGATCAGTAAGTTCTCTTAGTTCTAACTCATACTCGTTTCTTAGTTTTCCCTTTCTTCCCTTTCCTTACTTCTACTTCCTTAATTCAGCACCCTCTCTTTTAAAATTTTGATATATAATATATAAAAGTGCACAATGAAATTTAATATGTGATTATAAACTAAACATCCATTTAACTAGCACCTTTGAAACACCCCCTCCACTCACCATCTCTTTCCTATCTTCATCTCTATTTCTGTCTTTTCCTTTGTTTTCTTGCTTTGTATAGCAGTGTGTGCTCGATCCCCCCCCCCCAACCTACACATTGATGTTCTCTTGAGTCTTGCCCATTCCCTACTTTCACCCCTAGTATATCATTCATTCTGCTTAATGAATTGGTCATCTTACCTCATGCCTGAAATCCTTCCGTAGCTTATTATAGCTTGATTTCTTACTACCTTATTCCCTTGGTGATCTGGCTTTTCTGTCTCCTTTCTCTACTTCCTTCTTATACTCCAGCTTTTATCTGAACTGCTTTGTTATTACTCCAGTGCTCCTGCCATTCACTATCTAGTCGACTCCTACTCACCTTTAAAGACATCTCTAGTACTACTGTTTTGGGGAAATTTTCTTCCATCTGTTCCTCTTCTTTTTGCTCCTATAACACTGTGTGTTATATTTTTAGCATTTTATCACTGTAGACTAATGCTATGGTTGGCTTACTTCTCTGTCTCTTGCCCCTTTAATGGTAAGATCTTTCATGACTTATTTTTCCTTTCTTCCCAGTTTCTTATGTGGTATCAGGTACATAGTGAGTATTCAGTAAAGTAAGTGTTAAATAATTCACTAGATGAATTTCCATGCCTATTCCTACCTTGCGTATACTAGTGTTGGCGCTGTTTAGACAATGGATAGGCATCTCAAATTTGAATATAAACTCTGAAAATATTCTTTGTTTTCATACTAAACTATTTGTAGGTTTCAGATCACATTGGAGGCTTCCTCCCCTTCATGTCTTGGCACATCCTTTCTAGAATGCTCCTTCCATTTTTTTTTTACCTGAAAAACACTTCATTTTTAAGCCCATTTTTGTGTTCCCATAATGTGGTACATTTATACCACTAGCGAATTGCTGTAAATCATTGGAGGTCTGAGTCTGCTATTGGACTGAGTTCCTAAAAAGCAGATGTGGTTCCACTTACATCTGTGTTCCCACTGTCCAACAAATGCATGACGTGTAATATGTAACTACTCAGGCGGAGTTAGAGAAATGCATATGTAGGTTTTAAGTAGGATTTTTGTGTCCTTTCACCTTCCCATCAAAATCAGCAGCAAATGTTCATAGAGAACAATTTGGCGTAGCAATAAATGTTTCATAATGTCAACAGCAACATTTTCTAACTGCTTACAGAAACACAGCATTAAGCTAAAAAGGGAAAGTGAATCTGTTTCTATTTACAGACAGTTCAAATCTTTAATAGAAGAAGGTAAGTTATATTTGCAATATAATTTAATTAACAGAAAATAGGGTATGAAATAGTGTTTCTTTAGTCCAGTGGCCTTTTTTTTGCTTGTAAATAGTTTACTTGTTTTTAGTCCAGTAAATATTTTTACTTGGTATTCT